TGACTTTAGGCTACTAACAACAAGAGGGCTTTGTGTTGGAGCCTATTTATTCCTATTCAAGAAATAAGAGGTAGGCCTACCTGTTTGACAGACTCAATTATATTCTATATCCATAGATTTTTTCAGCCAATTCCTTCAGTCACCATGCACTCCTTAAATATATCAGTGTCTGTAAAGGTCTTTGTGTGTTAGGTTAAAATTAGGGCTCGAATTGAGGGGGTAAGTGAGGGATTTGTGGCTTTTGTTAAAGAAAATGGCTACCCCTTGTTAGGTTAAGATGTAGATTTTTTTTAAATGGACCTGATCATATAAAGCGATCTATAATGACGCTTTAGTTCGCAATGCTAGAAACAAGCTGTAAAATGCTGGGGAAAAAGGTGACTCCGATACATATGGGATATATTTGGTTTGTCTCTATGACATTCAGAGGTTGCACTACAACCTTCTATTGCCGAGGAGACAAAAAATGTACTTTGCTTGGGAAGTAATGTGTGATTCTGTCACTATCAATTGACGTTCAACATTTCAACGGGCTATTAAACAACATGCTGTACTAACTGTTAATCAGTCAGGAGCAAGCCAGGTAGCATAAGAAGGAACGAAAATGAATTATGTAGGCTATATTATTATTATTTCAAGGCTATAGCCTGCCATTTTAAGGAAGAAGTTGTGAAGCATTTGTGACACGCTACAGGCTGGCAGGAGCGCTCAGCATTTCAACAACACTTCAACAACAGCACTTCAACAACATGCCTATACATTTAGCATTTAGGCTGTATACAATGACATAAAAAACATAATAATGAAACGAAAAATGCGTTATTAGACTATACAGTCAGTGCCTTTTGAATTCACTTGTAGAAACTCGAGTTTTGCCAGTCTTTGGTTTCAGGATCATGTGGTGAGCTATGCATGTCTAGTTTGTTAATTTTGATCAAATTCCTTAAATTCCCATGCCCTAATCACAGTCAACAGAAATCTATTTTGTAACAACAATATAATGGAAAATAATACATTAGAAAATTATAGTTTCCCAAATGAAAAAAAGTTACAAGTGCATTTAGGCCTAACTGATGATATGCGGCTGCTGTATTAAAAAACAAATGGCTTTTTCTCGAATTCATTGATGATCAGATACTTCAGTTGTAATTTTTACAGTTGATAGACAACTTTAGGACTGTTCCAAACTTAGACTCTCCTCTTTTTTTAACAATAGAATATAAATGAAAACGTCTCCGGTGCTGCAACATGCGCTCCAGCATGCGCTCATTCATTGTCATGCTCTTTTGTGGTATTCAAAAAGATTCTGCTTGTCTCCAGTAAGGTAAAATGACGTGCATTACGTTCATGAAATGCATTTATACAATTATTATTTTTGTCAGACCACAAATAAGATGATAGATTTATGCAGTGCTTTTATTATAATGGAGATCTTTCCACCCCTACCCTTGTCTGCGGTGGTCTGCGAATCCACAACCTTCCGGCTACTTTGTCATGTTATGTAATGCATACAAAGTGAAGGACAGTTTCTAAAACTGCATATCTAAGGCTCTGGTCTGTCTTAGGAGTGAGAGTAAAACAGTAGGCATGTTCTCTGCTATCCACTTTGTTTTCATTATTATTTTGGGTGTAGAGGAGGGTCAAGGTTCTTTATTCAAGCGTTCAGGGAGGGTCTGGTAAAAACATATTTTACTGAAGGGAGGGCCATCCATTTTCATTTCAGAGAGGTCTGATTTTCTCCAGGTATCCCTCATTATAAAAAACGTCCAGTCCCTTACTCTTAACATATTGATGTTGTTTGTTCCACCTAAAAAAGCACAAGAAAGAGGATTTCGACACCCACCATCTCAGATTATTCTGAAATTGCTTCTGTTGTTACAGTTAAGATTAGCATTCCTGCAACATTATTTTGTAGGAAATATAATTTCATCTCTGAGAATTTAAGCTAATTGATTGCACCTATACGCTGCTGCTACTCTGTTTATTATCTATCCTGATTGCCTAGTCACCTTTACCCATACCTACATGCACATATTACCTCAACTACCTCGTACCCCTGCACACTGACTCGGTACCGGTACTCTTGTGTATATAGCCTCGTTATTGTTATTTTATTGTGTTACTACAGTATATATATATTTTTTGCTAATCTTTTCTTACTTTTTAACTCTGCATTGTTGGGAAAGGGCGGTAAAGTCCACACCTGTTGTATTTGGCGCATGTGACAAATACCATTTTATTTTATTTGAGTTCAAACATGGATTGTCATATTATTTCTTATCACAATAGAAGTAAACAAATCATTCCCTATAGATATACTACTTCTAGGATATCATAAATGGCTTTCTGAACATCAGAGCAATCTGTCAGGACATAACACCATCTGCTTTGACAGTTGACACTATTATTGAACTTCATTTTATTGAATGATTCCAAAAGTACACCCTACAGTCAGAGGTACAGACAGTGTCTAGGAACGTTGTGCTCTGCAATGTGAGTCATGCCTGGAGATCCATCAAGTTATTGATTACAGTGAGGGGAAAAAAGTATTTGATCCCCTGCTGATTTTGTACGTTTGCCCACTGACAAAGACATGATCAGTCTATAATTTTAATGGTAGGTTTATTTGAACAGTGAGAGACAGAATAACAACAAAAAAATCCAGAAAAACACATGTCAAAAATGTTATAAATTTATATGCATTTTAATGAGGGAAATAAGTATTTGACCCCTCTGCAAAACATTACTTAGTACTTGGTGGCAAAACCGTTGTTGGCAATCACAGAGGTCAGACGTTTCTTGTAGTTGGCCACCAGGTTTACACATCTCAGGAGGGATTTTGTCCTACTCCTCTTTGCAGATCTTCTCCAAGTCATTAAGGTTTCGAGGCTGACGTTTGGCAACTCTAACCTTCAGCTCCCTCCACAGATTTTCAATGGGATTAAGGTCTGGAGACTGGCTAGGCCACTCCAGGACCTTAATGTGCTTCTTCTTGAGCCACTCCTTTGTTGCCTTGGCCGTGTGTTTTGGGTCATTGTCATGCTGGAATACCTATCCACGACCCATTTTCAATGCCCTGGACGTGGCCCCGTCCATCGTCCCTTTGATGCAGTGAAGTTGTCCTGTCCCCTTAGCAGAAAAACACCCCCAAAGCATAATGTTTCCACCTCCATGTTTGACGGTGGGGATGGTGTTCTTGGGGTCATAGGCAGCATTCCTCCTCCTCCAAACACGGCGAGTTTAGTTGATGCCAAAGTGCTCGATTTTGGTCTCATCTGACCACAACACTTTCACCCAGTTCTCCTCTGAATCATTCAGATGTTCATTGGCAAACTTCAGACGGGCCTGTATATGTGCTTTCTTGAGCAGGGGGACCTTGCGGGCGCTGCAGGATTTCAGTCCTTCACGGCGTAGTGTGTTACCAATTGTTTTCTTGGTGACTATGGTCCCAGCTGCCTTGAGATCATTGACAAGATCCTCCCGTGTAGTTCTGGGCTGATTCCTCACCGTTCTCATGATCATTGCAACTCCACGAGGTGAGATCTTGCATGGAGCCCCAGGCCGAGGGAGATTGACAGTCTTTTGTGTTTCTTCCATTTGCCAATAATCGCACCAACTGTTGTCACCTTCTCACCAAGCTGCTTGGCGATGGTCTGTAGCCCATTCCAGCCTTGTATAGGTCTACAATCTTGTCCCTGACATCCTTGGAGAGCTCTTTGGTCTTGGCCATGGTGGAGAGTTTGGAATCTGATTGATTGATTGCTTCTGTGGACAGGTGTATTTTATACAGGTAACAAGCTGAGATTAGGAGCACTCCCTTTAAGAGTGTGCTCCTAATCTCAGCTCGTTACCTGTATAAAAGACACCTGGGAGCCTGAAATCTTTCTGATTGAGAGGGGGTCAAATACGTATTTCCCTCATTAAAATGCAAATCAATTTATAACATTTTTGACATGCGTTTTTCTGGATTTTTTTGTTGTTATTCTGTCTCTCACTGTTCAAATAAACCTACCATTAAAATTATAGACTGATCATTTCTTTGTCAGTGGGCAAACATACAAAATCAGCAGGGGATCAAATACTTTTTTCCCTCACTGTATATTTTCCACAAGAGGACCAGACAGTTTCACAAGATGCAATATATCCTTGATGTTACAAGGTTCATTCACTGTGACTCACTCAACCAGGTTCTCTAAGTCCTCAAGCTCCGAAATCCATATCATAAGGATATGTGATTTTTATTTGGGATGAGAGACACAACTAGACGTCAATAACTTCCTCAGCAGAAGACAAAGGTGTCAATGAAAACAGCACTCAAGAAGCTTTATGACGTAAACAGGCCAAACAAAATGGGTGCCAGGCACTTCATTTAACTAAAACTACCGTACATAAACACAGCAGCCATTACACTGACGGAGTTGTGAGCCATGATTCACATGGTTTGACCTCGGTGATATATGTTCAATCAGCTCCACATTGGTGCCGATGCTCAGACCTGGAGCCAAGATTGAAGAGCTCATCTCCGGGCATGGTGCACTTTATAGGGACAGAATCAATTAACTTCTCCCCCTCTTAACCCCGTCCAAGATTCTCCCCCTACATTCTTAAGGAAGTAATTAATGTAAAAGAAAAGGACTGAAAGTGCCAAGAACATCTGACTGTCATCTCCCGTAAATAACAGGTGATTGATGACTTTCTCACTTTGTTGGCTTTGTATCTGTCGTGTTGATGAAGGGCCCCTGGCAATGGATCCAGATCATCATATTTCTGTCAGCCACTACATGGTCCCTCTTGCAAAGGACCGTGGTCCATTGACGAAAGCCACGGTGACTACCTATTGATTGAGTGCACTGGGGGGCTGACTGCCCCCTCCCAGTCTCCTCCTTCCACGTCTGACAGGATAAAAGTATGGCTGGGATGGACCAAAGGCAGTGGATCACTGGGGCAGGTTGAGAACCAGTTGATACTAAGCACTTCTTTGGGACCGTTGCTTCGTTGACATGGACAGTGTTGTCTCTGTGAACTACTGGCTGGGACTGCTAGCTTTTCTGCTTCTACAAGGGGTAGTCAGTGTGGAGGGAAGAAGCATCTTCAACCCTGGTGAGTCTGCTGGTTTGGTGAATGAATGTGTACTAGCTGCTGGCCTATTTGAGGCACAGACTACCTGAAGATGTAGGCAGTCTGAGGATGCTGGATACAACTATGGGTTCATTCCCAGCTGCTTGCATGCATTGTCAGTTGTTATAATGTGAGCATGCAAAAGCTCTGCTGGAGGATAATTGGGACAAATTGCACAAAAGATCTGCAACAGGTAGTAGTTTCAATAGTTGTTATTGCCATTCATCTTTCACATATGAATAATTATTCTATTGGTATTCCATGGCAAACTAATGTAGTGTTTGCTTGGCAATTCAATTGTGTTCTTCTAACAATACTGTTAATACTACACTGTGAATGTGTCTCAGTTTAAAGGGGATATTGTGTAATTATATATTTATGTACACCAGGTGCATTTGAAGTTGTTTACAGTAAACAGATGTATTGCCATTTGCCACATATTCAGGAAACCATGTCTATCCCCAAAGAGGGGACACAGATGCCCAGAACAAGATTCTAGCGTTGTTACTACATAAAAGCTTAGAACCTATTGAAAGAAATTACGCTTTAGGTAAGGATTTACAGTATATCACACACACACTAATTCAGTGTTTGTCAATGTAGAATATATAATGATGTGTGTGTGTATATATAATATGACATGGACTGACCAAGTGTTTCTCAGGTTTGCCGTTTGTGCTAACACATTTTTTCTTCTCTGCAGGTTTAGAGTTGGCCAACAAACTAGAGGAGCTGGAGGAGGTAGGTCATTCAAGTGTTTTGTACACACTGACTGCAATAGTTTAAGCACTTGGTGTGTTCTGTGCAGTCATATATTTCATTCAGCTGATAAGATGGCATGCTTTTAAGCAGGGTTTATGAGACGAACAGGTAAACATAGTTATCTGACTGAGATACTGTGTACATTCTGTGGAAAATTCCCCTTGGATTTAGCCTTTACAAGGTTCATCAAGCAAATCTACCTATTGTCTGACAGAGTTCAAATGGGAGCTCTAGCAGCATAATTGATTATGTCTCTCATGGCCTTGGATAGTGATTTACCTTCCATGAGAGAAGTCTGCTTCCATAAAGACCAACACAGTGATCCTTTGACCGTCTGTAACCACTGTGTTCTCTCCTTACAGATAGAGGCTTTGAAGGAGGACTTAGAGCTGGAAAGGGAGCTCTCATCAAACACACTAGCAGAGGACAAGTCCATACCGAGGAAAAGGGGCGAGCGTAAGTTTCTTATTGCTTATTGTTGGTGATGGCAATAATTTCATAGTCATAACACATTTTATTTACTATAGTGGTCTTCATTTTACAACAATGATATTCCTCCTTGTAATAGAGCAAGAGACTGAACAGTGTTTTTCTCTGTGTCCACAGCCTGTTTCTGGAAGTACTGTGTATGATAGCTTAAGGGCGAGAAGAACCTCTACTGAGTCCTGCTGCATTGCCCTAACGCTCCAAAGACTCAACACGCTCACAGACATCAACACAACTCACCCATTACCATCACCAAATGTTTAAATGTTGTAACATAACTAATCTACTAATACTATAATGTACTCATCACGCACATTGTTCAATAACCTCTGTGCTGATGTCGCAATATCGGGCGTCTACAGGTATTTATAATAGGTCCAATGACTGTTGAGTCTAAATCAGGGTGGGCATAAGTTACATTCTATTTGTGATGTATTGCATAAATACCTTGTAATGCATAATTACCTCAAATGACAGAAATTACTTGATCGTCAGTTCTGTATAGGATGTACTGTTCCAGATGCTTCTCTACAGGACTCCAACATTTGAGAAGACAAGGAGTTATCAGCATTTCCTGGAAAGTATTGTTGTCACAACCTAATATTAGTCCGCTGACAAAGGCCTTGGCCCTTGTTTCCACACCCGGAGTAACACGTTGACTTTGTCTTCCCCTAGTGGTAAATGGGGGCAGTGACGCAATTCATGATACTTTCCATTGTCAAATATCAGTATTGCTTTGATGAATGTGTTACCGTTTCCTTCATTTAATAAATTATATATTATCATGCTAACTTGTGTCTTAGCTACCAGTGATTATGTCACTCCGGGAATAGAGAAATAAATGGTTAGATCCATGAATTGTAAGTAACTGGATAAGAGCGTCAACTAAATTACAAGAATGTAAAATGTAAGGACCAGAGCTGTGACATTTTTGACTATATCTTTTGCCTGATTGAAACACCTTTACAACTCAAATTTCTTGTTAATGAACTATAGTTTTGGCAAGTCAGATAGAACATCTACTTTGTGCATGACACAAGTAATTTTTCCAACGATTGTTTACAGACAGATTATTACTTACAGTGAATTATATCACAATTCCAGTGGGTCAGAAGTTTACATACACCAAGTTGACTGTGCCTTTAAACAGCTTGGAAAATTCCAGAAAATGATGTCAAGGCTTTAGAAGCTTCTGATAGGCTAATTGACATCATTTGGGTGAATTGGAGGTGTACTTGTGGATGTATTTCAAGGCCTACCTTCAAACTCCGTGCCTCTTTGCTTGACATCATTGGAAAATCAAAAGAAATCAGCCAAGACCTCAGAAAAGAAATTGTAGACCTCCACAAGTCTGGTTCAGCCTTGGGAGCAATTTCCAAATGCCTGAAGGTACCACGTTCATCTGTACAAACAATAGTACGCAAGTATAAACCCCATGGGACCACGCAGCCGTCATGCCGCTCAGGAAGGAGACGCGTTCTGTCTCCTAGAGATGAACGTACTTTGGTGCGAAAAGTGCAAATCAATCCCAGAACAACAGCAAAGGACCTTCTGAAGATGCTGGAGGAAACAGGTACAAAAGTATCTACAGTGGGGGAAAAAAGTATTTAGTCAGCCACCAATTGTGCAAGTTCTCCCACTTAAAAAGATGAGAGAGGCCTGTAATTTTCATCATAGGTAAACGTCAATTATGACAGACAAATTGAGAAAAAATTATCCAGAAAATCACATTGTAGGATTTTTAATGAATTTATTTGCAAATTATGGTGGAAAATAAGTATTTGGTCACCTACAAACAAGCAAGATTTCTGGCACTCACAGACCTGTAACTTCTTCTTTAAGAGGCTCCTCTGTCCTCCACTCGTTACCTGTATTAATGGCACCTGTTTGCACTTGTTATCAGTATAAAAGACACCTGTCCACAACCTCAAACAGTCACACTCCAAACTCCACTATGGCCAAGACCAAAGAGCTGTCAAAGGACACCAGAAACAAAATGGTAGACCTGCACCAGGCTGGGAAGACTGAATCTGCAATAGGTAAGCAGCTTGGTTTGAAGAAATCAACTGTGGGAGCAATTATTAGGAAATGGAAGACATACAAGACCACTGATAATCTCCCTCGATCTGGGGCTCCACGCAAGATCTCACCCCGTGGGGTCAAAATGATCACAAGAACGGTGAGCAAAAATCCCAGAACCACACGGGGGGACCTAGTGAATGACCTGCAGAGAGCTGGGACCAAAGTAACAAAGCCTACCATCAGTAACACACTACGCCGCCAGTGACTCAAATCCTGCAGTGCCAGACGTGTCCCCCTGCTTCAGCCAGTACATGTCCAGGCCCGTCTGAAGTTTGCTAGAGTGCATTTGGATGATCCAGAAGAGGATTGGGAGAATGTCATATGGTCAGATGAAACCAAAATATAACTTTTTGGTAAAAACTCAACTCGTCGTGTTTGGAGGACAAAGAATGCTGAGTTGCATCCAAAGAACACCATACCTACTGTGAAGCATGGGGGTGGAAACATCATGCTTTGGGGCTGTTTTTCTGCAAAGGGACCAGGACGACTGATCCGTGTAAAGGAAAGAATGAATGGGGCCATGTATCGTGAGATTTTGAGTGAAAACCTCCTTCCATCAGCAAGGGCATTGAAGATGAAACGTGGCTGGGTCTTTCAGCATGACAATGATCCCAAACACACCGCCTGGGCAACGAAGGAGTGGCTTCGTAAGAAGCATTTCAAGGTCCTTGAGTGGCCTAGCCAGTCTCCAGATCTCAACCCCATAGAAAATCTTTGGAGGGAGTTGAAAGTCTGTGTTGCCCAGCAACAGCCCCAAAACATCACTGCTCTAGAGGAGATCTGCATGGAAGAATGGGCCAAAATACCAGCAACAGTGTGTGAAAACCTTGTGAAGACTTACAGAAAACGTTTGACCTGTGTCATTGCCAACAAAGGGTATATAACAAAGTATTGAGAAACTTTTGTTATTGACCAAATACTTATTTTCCACCATAATTTGCAAATAAATTCATTAAAAATCCTACAATGTGATTTTCTGGGAAAAAAAATCTCTTTTTTTCTGTCATAGTTGACGTGTACCTATGATGAAAATTACAGGCCTCTCTCATCTTTTTAAGTGAGAGAACTTGCACAATTGGTGGCTGACTAAATACTTTTTTCCCCCACTGTATATCCACAGTAAAATTAGTCCTATATCGACATAACCTGAAAGGCCGCTCAGCAAGGAAGAAGCCACTGCTCCAAAACCGCCATAAAAAAGCCAGACTACGGTTTGCAACTGCACATGGGGACAAAGATCGTACTTTTTGGAGAAATGTCCTCTGGTCTGATTAAACAAAAATAGAACTGTTTGGCCAAAATGACCATTGTTATGTTTGGAGGTAAAAGGGGAATGCTTGCAAGCCGAAGAACACCATCCCGACCGTGAAGCATGGGGGTGGCAGCATCATGCTGTGGGGGTGCTTTGCTGCAGGAGGGACTGGTGCACTTCACAAAATAGATGGCATCATGAGGAAGGAAAATGATGTGGATATATTGAAGCAACATCTCAATACATCAGTCAGGAAGTTAAAGCTTGGTCGCAAATGGGTCTTCCTGTGATGAGTGTGATAGAAGGAGTCAGGCGCAGGAGGGTTAATCACTGAATACAGAGTTTATTCCTTCGTACACAATTGCGCTAGATAGCGACACACGAAAACAGGCACAGGGGAAACTATCTACCCTGGCAATACACGGTACGGGATACTCCAACAATATACAGGCACAGGGGAAATATCTACGCCGGCAATACAAAGTGCGAGTAACTCCACCGAGCTACACTACTCTCACAAATAACAATCACCCACAAGGACAAGGTGGCTAGAGGGAACACATATACACAGACTAATGAGGGGATAAGAACCAGGTGTGTGTAATTGACAAGACAAGACAAATGGAATGATGAGATATGGAGCGGCAGTGGCTAGTAAGCCGGTGACGACGAACGCCGAAGCCTGCCCGAACAAGGAGGGGAGGCAGCCTCGGCAGAAGTCGTGACACTTCCAAATAGACAATGACCCCAAGCATACTTCCAAAGTTGTGGCAAAATGGCTCAAGGACAACAAAGTCAAGGTATTGGAGTGGCCATCACAAAGCCCTGACCTCAATCCTATAGAAAATGTGTGGGCAGAACTGAAAAAGCGTGTGCTAGCAAGGAAGCCTATAAACCTGACTCAGTTACACCAGCTCTGTCAGGAGGAATGGGCCAAAATTCACCCAACTTATTGTGGGAAGCTTGTGGAAGGCTACCCGAACCGTTTGACCAAAGTTAAACAATTTAAAGGCAATGCTACCAAATACTAATTGAGTGTATGTAAACTTCTGACCCACTGGGAATGTGATGAAAGAAATAACAGCTGAAATAAATAATTCTCTCTACTATTATTCTGACATTTCTCATTCTTAAAATAAAGCGGTGATCCTAACTGACCTAAAACAGGGAATTTTTACTAGGATTAAATGTCAGGAATTGTGAAAAACTGAGTTTAAATGTATTTGGCTAAGGTGTGTGTAAACTTCCGACTTCAACTGTAAGTTAATTATATGTACCCACTAACTGATTCTTGAAGAATATAATTTATAAATGCCTCATGAGGTTAGTTCAACAGTTGTACCCCATCAGAACCCAAAATGTAAGCTTGTTTTACTCCAATGTTTGTAAACAAAGTTAATGTAAAAAAAATAAAAAACACTGTATAGTCTCAAAACATGGTTAAAACTGTCATTTTAATATAACGGATGGTCAGTCCTTGCATCCCTACCTCTGTCTACAGATGTAGGATCTTCATTTGGGCCAGTGCAGGACAATTCTCAGGAACAAAAGAGTGATCAAATTAAGATCCTACATCTGTATGAATTTGAGTGGTTACATTTCTCCAACCCCATCCCTCAGCTTTTTACAGAGACGGGGGCGGGGAGGACACTTTGTTATTGTTTCAACTGCTGATTACCGCCACAAATACAGTATTATTTATTATATAAATAATACACATTATTTAGGTTATTCAAGCTTGCATCAAAAATATATTGTTTTAATGATATTTTACCAGTTTTAGTCATGCTAAATCTATGCAATTTATAGCTC